CGGGTCTGGCCTAGGGAGAATTTTTAAACAGGGACAATTCTTAATTTAATTTTAACTAATCATACAGCGAAAAAATATTTGGTTTTTAACAGGTTTTTATGGGGGGATGATGTTTTAAGTGTTTTAATATGCTGTAAGCCGCCCTGAGTCCTATAGGGAGAAGGGCGGCATATAAATCCATGTTAAATAAATAAATAAAATAAATAAAACCTTTTTCTGCCAAGAGGGAAACGGAAGAAGAAAGACCAAAAAAGAGCAGCAAAGGAAGACCTTGGGCCATTCTGAAGAACTCTGTGTGTGTGTGGGGGGGGGGAAATCCCAAATTAAAGATGTGTATGAAGATTGATTGATTTATTAAGTTTCTATGCCGCCCGTCTGGCTAATTCAGCAACAGGTTTATCCGCTGAAGCAGAGCCAGATGATCCGGAGGGGGGGGGAGTTAAGTGGGCTGAGAAACCATTTCTAAAAACTCATCTGCAGCCGTGGTTGAAAGAGCAGCTGAGCTGCTTTTCCGTCTCTCTTCGCAAGATGGTGCAGTTGGCAAAGCTGCTCGCAACTTGGGTTTGGCTGGCGAAACACAGCCGTGGCCCCAGGGCCCAGGAAGATGCCCGGCTGAGGAACGTGCAAAGCACCAAAGCCCCCTCCTTGCGTTTCTCTCACGTGCCTTTTGGGGAGACAGCCCCCCCACACACACAGACATCCCCGATTCACTTTGCCTGCCTCTGGGGGGTAACAGAAAAGGCAGCAGAGTCTGTGATTATCTGTAGATCACAACTTGTGGGTGGTTGTTAAAAAGGGAGCACAAGAGGGTAGCTCGATCCGTGTGCCCACTGAAGAATTTTTATAGTGGCCAGAAAAGCCACAATTTGACTGGAAGGAGAGGCAAGTGAGCAGCTCAGAACTGTGGAAGGATCAGGCCAAGACTGTAGAAGAAGGACCGGCAGAGCCAGGGGGAGGAGTGAAAAGGGGAATCAGCCTGGAATTGTTACGTAGCCACAAAGGAACTAACTCCGACCTCCCTTAAATTGCATTGACCCTAATCCCACTCCAAGCGGGTACCGACCATTAGTGGAGAAGATTCCTGCGCACGGCCTTTTCGCACATAAGTCGGTTAAATTGGGCCTTCGTGTGTGGGGGGGGGGGCAGGTTTTTGGCACCTGACCAAGGATCCTGAAAGGCTGATTCCTGCAGCTTCCTGGCCCTCCGGCTCTCCCGCAGAGTCAGAAGTGAGTTTGGGGAGAAGCTCAAGCGTCCCCAAGGCAGGAGAGGAGGCACCCCGTGGCAGAGAGGACGGGGCATGGTTCTACGACGGTTTCCCCTTGGTAGGCAAATACAGCCTGGTCTCGGGCTGCCTAGTGGAGAAGGAGGCCTGGGCTGCCCTTCCCGGCTCCAGGAATGAGGACAAGAGGATCTGGGGTGCCTGCGGTGTGCCCACCCACCCCTCCTCCTCCTCCTCGGATGATTGGGCAGCTGTGCTGAAGGCAAACGGTGTCGGCTGTCCGGAGGGAGAGATCTGCCCCTCTAGCCGAAGGGCTGGGCAGTGCCTTCTCCCCCCCAGCCGCCTTCTGCCTGTCCAAGGTCCGCGCTGGGGGTGGGCTTCTCTGCTGCCAGAGGGGCTCGTTCCGTGGAAGGGCAGACCGTCTTGGCAGGGGGGCAGCACTGTCCGGGGGACTTCATTCATTCATTCATTTATTCAATTTGTATCCCGCCCTCCCGAGGGACTCAGGGCGGCTCACAACATTTTTTAAAACAAAAACAAACCCACAATCCCCGCCGAATAAAACCAATTAAAACCCAAATATTCTAAGTTGTGATATTTACAATTTTCTAAAAATGAACCCGATTTAAAAATCCTCCCTAGGCCAGGCCCGCTTGCTGGAAAAGCCATGTCTTGAGGGCGCGGCGGAAAGTCAGGAGATCCGGAATCACCCGGATCTGGGGGGGTAGTTCGTTCCAGAGGGCGGGGGCACCCACAGAGAAGGCCCTCCCCCTGGGGGTCGCCAGCCGACATTGCTTGGCCGACGGCACCCTGAGGAGACCCACTCTGTGAGCGCGTACCGGTCTATGGGAGAGAATCTGCGGCAGAAGGCGGTCTCGGAGATAGCCAGGTCCTATGCCATGGAGCGCTTTAAAGGTGGTAACTAACACCTTAAAGCGCACCCGGAAGGCCACTGGCAACCAGTGCAGCTCGCGCAACAGCGGTGTTACAT